GGGGGTGATTTCTCGCTTTCTGTCTTTCTGTCTCTCTGTCTCTGTCTGGTGAGCACATGCGCCCTATAGCAAAAAATAAAAAAATAAATACAATTAAATAAATAATAATTTTAAAAAAAAAATTTATTTATTTGTATTTATTATTTTTAACATTTGACCAGAGAGAGAAAGAGAAAGTGAGAAAGCAAACTGCCAGGTCCAGGACTCGAACCATGGTCAGCCATGTGGCAATCCAGTGCCTTAACCACCACACCACCTACCAGCTCCAGGATCCATCCAGCTTCTTTCCCCTGGACTGGACAAGGATCTGGTTTCTCTTGCGAAGTGCATTACAACTGGGTCATAGAGCCCATCTCCACCTCGTGGAGTCTGATGTCAGGTTGCCCTGGGTTCGAATCCCGCCTCGGTCTTTGGTTTTTCACTCTGTGACCTTGAAAGATGCACTCGCTTCTTTGAGCGCCTGATCTCTAAGGCAGGAGGATAGGGTTCTTCTGAGCTAAATATCTGAGTGCACGAGGCTGTGGTTCACCCCACCATCCCTCCCTCTCCATTTCGTTCCAGGTCCAGGATGGGGGCCTTGTCTGTCTGGGCCTCGGGCCTCCTCATGTTCCAGCTGCTACTCTTTGTGGTTGGAGAACAGGGTAAGTTGGCTGGTGGGAAGGGACAGGTTGGGATCTGCAGGACTGACCAGACGGGGTAGCTTTTGATTTCTAGAGCCTTCTCCTGCTGGTCTCCTGGTCTGGTCTAGAGAATAAAATAAGAATAGATGAAAAAGGTCTTTGAACAGTCAAAAGGGAACAAGATACCTGAGAGGTTATTTTTAGTCGGTCCCGGCAGAAGCTAGAGGTTTCCGCCTTTCACCGTTTTGCTGAGATGATCTGAAGAGCCGGAGAGAGAAAAATGAGAATAGTGCAGAGGTTGATTAGTGATGTCTGCCAAGGGCAGGGCAAGGAAAATAAGGCTGGATATGCCATGCCCAGCAGCGTCTCCCCAAAGGTGGGTCAAGAGTCCAGGTGTTAGCAATCCCGTTCTGATTTTCTAGGTTATGGTTGGAAGTACAATGACCTCTCTGAGCTTCAGTTTCCTCAACTCCCCCCAAAGAGAATGAGACATCACTCTCTCTATAGATAGTTACAAAAGTCAAATGAGCTGACTGCTTTGAGGTATCTGTTATAAAGAAGATATCTGGGGCACCAGCAGTTAGCACAATGGCTATGTCGCTGGACTCCCATGTAGTCAGCTGCGGTTCGAGTCCCGGACCCGGTGGCTTAAACTCACACCGGGCGCATGTGCATGCGTGCCCAAGATCCCAAGAGGAGAATGGAGGAGAAGGGATTGTGGTGTGGCCACCTCTCCTGGGGAGTGATTTCTCACTTTCCCTCTCATTATCTCCATCCCTTTCTCTCTCCAGGGAGCGCACATACTCTAAGAAAAAAAAATCTCTTTAAATAAAGAAATAAATAAAAATACCCCACAACATGCTCAGGATGCTGGCTGGCTGGGACAGGGAGTGGATTACAACATGAAGAACCTGTTAGGGGGACCAGCAGTTAGCATAATGGCTATGTCGCTGGACTCCCACGTAGTCGACCGCGGTTTGAGTCCCGGACCCAGTGGCTTAAACTCACGCCGGGTGCGTGTGCGTGCGTGCCCAAGATCCCGAGAGGAGAATGGAGGAGAAGGGATTGCAGTGTGGCCATCCCCCCTGGGGGTGATTTCTCGCTTTCTGTCTCTCTATCTCTCTCTGTCTGTCTGGCAAGTGCTTGCGCCCTATAGCAAACAAAACAAAACAAAACAAAACAAAAAAATCTTCTCCAAACAAAAAGGAAAAAAAAAAAAAAAGAACCTGTTACGGATGTCTTTCTCTCTCTCCCCTCATCTCTGTCTCATAGAAGAAATAAACAAACTTTATTTATTTACTATTTATTTAGGAGAGGTTTGTTTTTGTTTTTGTTTTTCTTTTGCGATAGGCGCATATTCTTGCCAGAGAGACAGAGAGACAGAAAGCGAGAAATTACCCCCCGGGGGGATGGCCACCCCGCAATCCCTTCTCCATTCTCCTCTCGGGATCTTGGGCACGCACGCACACGCTCCCAGTGTGAGTTTAACCTGCCAGGTCCGGGATTCAAACTGTGGTCGACTACATGGGAGTCCAGTGACGTAACTGTTACGCCACCTGCTAGTCCCAATAAACTTTATTTTTTAAGTGTTTTTTGTTTGTTTGTTTTTTGTTTTTGCTTTAGGGCATGTGCGCTCATTGGAGACAGAGAGAGGGGAAAAGCGAGAAATCACCCCCCCAAGGGGGATGAACTTGCCTCCATTCCTTCTCCTCCATTCTCCTCTATGGATTTGGGCTCACGTGCACACACACCTGCTGTGATTTTCAAGCCTCCTGGTCCAGGACCGAAATCAAAAAGTAGGTTAAATGGGGTCAGCGTCTTGACCCAATAAACTTTGTATATTTTTTTTTTTTTTTTTTGCAGAGAGGTTTTTGCTATAGGTTGCGTGCATTTACTAGAAAGACAGAGAGAGACCGAGAGATAGAAAGTGAGAAATCACCCCCCCCAGGGGGTATGGCCACGCCACAATCCCTTCTCCTCCAATCTCCTCTCGGGATCCTGGGCACGCACACACACGCGCCTGGCGTGAGTTTAAACCACCGGGTCTGGGACGCGAACCGCGGCTGACTACATGGGAGTCCAGCGACATAGCCATGACGCTAACTGCTGGTCCCTATTTCTTTTTTTAAAGACACTCCACAAGGCCAGTCAGTGGTGTGGTGGTTAACATGACTGGATCCCACATGGTCGACTGCATGATTCATGTCCCAGACCCGACAGCTTGAAAAACATGCCAGGCCCATGTGCGTGAATGCTCAAAATCTCAAGAGAAGGAGAAATAGAGAAGGGATTGTGGCATGACCGTGTCCTATGAGGGGTGCTTTCTCACTTTTTCTCCTTCTCTCTTTCTCTGTCTCTCTGCAATGAGTGCATCCTCTAGCCAATTTTAAAAAGAGAGGGCCGGCAAGTGGCATGGTGAGTGAGGGTGCTGGACTCACACATGACCGACCATGGTTCGAGTCCTGCACCTGGCAGCTTGCTTTCTTACTTTCCCTTTCTGTCTCTTTCCTCTCTGGTCAAATTAAAATAAATAAATAAAGTTAAATAAAATAAATCTTGTTTTATTATTTAACTTTATTTGTTTATTATTATTATTACTATTATTTTAATTTGACCAGAGAGGGACACAGAGAGAGAGAGAGAGAAAGTGAGAAAGCAAGCCAGTAGGTCCAAGACTTGAACTGCAGTCAGCCATATGGGGGTCCAGTGCCCTTAACCACCATGCCACCTGCTGACCCCAAATAAAGTAATTCTTTTTTTTTGGAGAGGTTTTTGCTATAGGGCGCATGCACTCACCAGAAAGACAGACAGAGACAGAGAGACAGAAAGTGAGAAATCACCCCCCGGGGGGATGGCCATGCCGCAATCCCTTCTCCTCCATTTTCCTCTTGGGATCTTGGGCACGCACGCACACACGCCCGGTGTGAGTTTTAAGCCACCGGGTCCGGGACTCGAACCACGGTCGACTACGTGGGAGTTCAGCGATATAGCCATTACGCTAACTGCTGGTTCCCGACCCCAAATAAAGGAATTCCTTAAAAAAAAAAAAAAATCTAAAAAAAAATTTTTTTTTTGAGAGATTTTCACTGTAGGGCGCGTGCGCTCGCCAGACAGACAGAGAGAGACAGAGAGACAGAAAGCGAGAAATCACCCCCCAGGGGGGATGGTCACGCCACAATCCCTTCTCCTCCATTCTCCTCTCGGGATCTTGGGCATGCACGCACACGCGCCCGGTGTGAGTTTTTAAGCCACCGGGTCCGGGACACGAACCGCAGTTGACTACATGGGAGTCCAGGGACATAGCCATGACGCTAACTGCTGGTTCCCTAAAAAATAATTTTTTAAAGATACTCTGCAAACACTGTTTTTGTTTTTGTTTTTACAATTATTTTAACTTAATTTATCTTTTATTTAATTTTTTTTTAATTTGACCAGAGAGAGAGAGAGAGAGAGAGAAAGTGAGAAAGCAAGCTGCCAGGTCCAGGACTCAAACCATGGTTGGCCATGTGGGAGTCCAGCGCCCTTAACCTGCACGCCACCTGCTGGGCCCTTGTATTTCCTGTGTGGGTGACTAAATCCTCCTCCCTCACTGACTATACCTGAGTTAAATGGTCCCGGCTGTCCCTCTCTGAGTGAGGCCCCCTCTCGCCTTCTCCCTGCAGGCACCCAGCACGCGGCCGCTGCAGATAAGGGGCTCCACATGCAGAAAGTGGGGTCCGGATCGGTGCGGGCCGCGCTGGCGGAGCTGGTGGCCCTCCCCTGTCTCTTCACCCTGCAGCCTCGGCCAGGTGCCACCCGCGATGCCCCTCGGATCAAGTGGACCAAGGTGCGGACTGCATCGGGCCAGCGACAGGACTTGCCCATCTTAGTGGCCAAGGACAACGTGGTGCGGGTGGCCAAGGGCTGGCAGGGACGGGTGTCGTTGCCCGCCTACCCCCGGCACCGGGCCAACGCGACACTCCTGCTGGGGCCCCTGAGAGCCAGCGACTCCGGACTCTACCGCTGCCAGGTGGTGAGAGGCATTGAGGATGAGCAGGACCTGGTGCCACTGGAGGTGACGGGTCAGTTGGGGCCAGGGGGAGGGCTGGGCCTGGAGGGGGCGGGGCTAAGCCTGAGGCCCGCCCACCTTCACTCCCTGAGGGCCTGAAGGTGGTGCAGCGGGAATACAAGGCTCTGTGATGCTAAATCCCCTTGAGAAGGTCTTGGGTTCGCATCCCGCAACCTCTTTTTTTTTTTAAATAATTATTTATTTTATTTATTCATTCATTTTATTTTAATTTGACCAGAGAAAGACACACACACACACACACACAGAGAGAGAGAGAGAGAGAGAGAGAGAGAGAGAGAGAGAGAGAGAGAGAGAGAGAGAGAGAGAGAGAGAGAGAGAGAGAGAGAGAGAGAGAGAAAGTGAGAAAGCAAGCCACCACGTCCAGGACTTGAACCATGGTTGGCCATGTGGGAGTGTCCAGCACCTTAACCACCACGCCACCTGCTGGTTCCACGACCTCCCTTTTCACCAAGGTATGCCCATGCCCCTGATCTTCAGCTTCATGAGGTGAATCCTTGCATGAAGAAGATACAGGGGTGGGGGGGGTGCCTGTATCTCTGCTGGTCTCTCTCTCTCTCTTTCTCTCTCTCTCTGTCTTTCTTTCATGGAAGAATTGAAAAAAAAAATTGAAAAAAAAGAGGATGGGACCAGCAGTTAGCATAATGGCTATGTTGCTGGAATCCCATGTAGTCGACGGCGGTTTGAGTCCCAGACCCGGTGGCTTAGAACTCACACTGGGCGCGTGTGCATGCGTGCCCAAGATCCTGAGAGGAGAATGGAGGAGAAGGGATTGCGACGTGGCCATCCCCCCGGGGGGGTGATTTCTCGCTTTCTGTCTCTCTGTCTCTCTCTGTCTTTCTGGCGAGCGCATGCGCCCTATAGCAAAAACCTCTCCAAAAAAAATAAAATAAGAGGGAGAATCAGCAGGTGACCTAGTGGTTAAGGGCACAGGGCTCCCACATGACTGACTGCGGTTCGAGTCCCAGGCCTGGTGGCTTGTGTTCTCACTTTCTCTCGCTCTGGTGAGGGCAAGTGCCTTATAGCCAAGTTTTAAAACTAATAATAATAAATAAAATGAAACAAATAATTCCATTTCCCCCCCCTCGCAGGGCATATGTGCTCACTGAAAAAGAGAGAGAGAGAGATTCAGAGAGAGAGAAAGTGAAAAATCACCCCCTCAGGAGGGATAGCCATACCATTGGGTCCAGGAAATGGCATAATGGTTATGATGCTAGACTCCCATGTGGTAGACCATGGTTCAAGTCCCGAACCCGATGTCTTAAAACTCATGCTGGGGAACCAGCAGTTAGCGTCATGGCTATGTTGCTGGACTCCCATGTAGTCAACCGTGGTTTGAGTCCCAGACCCAGTGACTTAAACTCACACCGGGCACGTGTGCATGCGTGCCCAAGATCCCGAGAGGAGAATGGAGGAGAAGGGATTGCGGCGTGGCCATCCCCCCTGGGGGATGATTTCTAGCTTTCTATCTCTTTGTCTCTTTCTGTCTTTTTGGCGAGTGCATGTGCCCTATAGCAAAAACTTCTTAAGAAAAAGAAAAAAAAAAAAAAAAAAAAAAAAACAAAGAGGGTG